CAACTTGGGAAAAAGAAGAAGTTTTGTAGAAATATGATACAAGTGGGAAGATATCTTGTTTCTAGATTTGCGGGAGTTTTGGTATCAGAATGAAGAGCCCTGTGTGAAATGTTAATGATAATACAGTAGAACCTCCAAAAGAGGACCCTCAGGCTAGAGGACACCTCTCAACAAAGTAAATTTTTCATTTGCAAAATTCCCATTTTTACTAAACATAAGGTAATAAGACCAAACAAATAAATAGTGTGTGACGTTTCGGTAACAACGCTGTTACCGAAACGTCACACACTATTTATTTATTTGGATTTGGTCTTATTACTTTGTGTTTATAATCTATAATCCAAATTGTGCCTTATCAATCCCATTTTTACTATTTAGCAACTCTCTGATAAGAGGACACTTCTCCCTAAAGGACACTTTGACTCTGCAACTAGGTATTGTCCTTTACAGGGAGTTTGTTCTACTGTATTATAGAAAAAATAAATTTGGAAAAAATATAGCTACATCAACCAATTATTTTTTATTCAGTGACTCCTGAGGAGAGTGACAGCAAGAAACTGAAACATCAGGAATTAAATAAATAATTGGTTGATGAGCTATATTTTTTCCTAACCAACTTCCATCCAACAAATGGATCTCTAAAACAAGGTAATAAGACCAAATAAATAAATAGTGTGTGATGTTTCGGTAACAGCGTTGTTACCATCTTCAGACAAAACTACTGAATGTGTACTATTGATTGTATTTATAATCTATAATCCAAATTGTGCCTTATCATTTAGATTTGGTCTTATTACCTTGTGTTTCCAATCTGTAATCCAAATTGTGTCATTGTTAATAATAATTTGATTGCCATAATTTATATTATAGATTGGAAAAACAAGATAATAATCAGATAATAAATAGTGTAACTTTGTGGTAACGGCGTTGTTACCAAAATGTCACACACTATTTATTTATTTGAATATACATATAAAATGAAAGGATTTAAAAGCACGAATGTTTCTTTTATTCATAATACAAACTTCTACTGCCCTTACTGCGATACAATATATTTTTCATCGCGGTAAGGGCAGTAGAAGTTTGTATTATGTATAAAAGAAACATTTGTGCTTTTAAATCCTTTCATTTTATATGTATAGATGGCGCGTTATTGCTTTGTGTTATTTGAATTTAGTTTAATTACTTTGTAGTTCCAGTCTTTGAGAGGACATCACTTCTCGGCCTTTTGGCTAAGACCAAAATGTAGTGTAGTATCTACAAGAGGACTCTACAAAGGACAGTTTTTAATTGAAAAATTAACTTTTTTACTATTTCACCACTCTCCAGTAAGAAGACAATTTTCCCTAAAGTAAATTTTGGCTTGGCAAAAATACATTGAATACCCCAGTAGAGACCTTTTTTTTTACTCGAAACATGACGTTTCTAATGTAACTTTTCATACTAAAAAAAAAAAAATATATATATATATAGAATAGGAATTTTTCTTTCAGTCATTGTTTTTAACCTGACAGCATTTCTTTTTAAATACAGGGAGGTTATAGTTTTACTGTATATGGTATTCTCACCTTTAGAAACTTTGGCCGCCATTTCACAGCTTTCTGTCAACAACAACAACAGAGCTGTTATATTCCATTGAAATTTAAAATATCATTTTATAGGAAACATTTTTTGGTAAAGGATATTTCTAACACATCACACAAGGTAGAAAAAGTCGGTGGACAAGTGGGTAACCCCCTCGATTCCCGACAGTCATGAACCGGGATTAAATCCCGCGTTAAAATTTTGTTTAATATGTGAATAACCTTCACATATTATTCATTGTTCAATTATCATGAACTAGGTTGCTCTTGCTGAGCGGCACCTATTTATGTGATTTGAACCTGGCACACAAGGTAACAAGTCCAAATCAATAATCTACATTTAACAGTGGAACCCTGTTATAAAAGGCTCTTTTTTTATATATAACAGAAACAATGCTGTTACCGAAACATCACAAACATTTCATTAATTAGGTTTTATTATCTTTTGATTGGTTAACACAGGTTCCTGGGGTATCATTACATTATTATTCAGAAACACAAATCCAAATAAATAAATAGTGTGTGAATAGAATCTTCAAGTGATGGCTTAGCATCCACATTGATATTCACTTTGGGATTCATTTTCTTCATCTCATAGGAAGAATAACTTCTTAGATCCATTGAAGTCTATAAAAATGATATAAGGTACAATTTAGATGATAGATTTGACACATAAAGTATATAATAAGACCAAATTCAAAACATAATATATTTATTAAGATGGAAATACAGTAGAACAACCTCCATGAAAGGGACACTCGCGATAGAGGACATCTTTCTATAAATGACAGTTTTCATTTGTAAAATTACCATTTTTTACTATTTAGCAACTCTCCGGTAAGAGGATACCTCTCCCTAAAGGACACTTTGGCTCTGCAATTAGGTGTTATCCTTTACAGGGAGGTAGTTCTACTGTATTTAGCAACTCTCCAGTAAGAGGATACCTCTCCCTAAAGGACACTTTGGCTCTGCAATTAGGTGTTATCCTTTACAGGGAGGTAGTTCTACTGTATTAAGCCTCTAGGGCAGTGATTCTCAACCACTGTGCCGTGGTAATTTTGTGTGCCGCGAAATTCTAAAAATGTGCCGCCGAATTTTAGTCATATGATTATGTTCACGTTTGTATTGGTTTTTCTTTTTTTCTTTTTCATTTTTTTTACTTTTTAAAATAACGAAATTAGAAAATTGAATGTTAGAGATGTATATTACTTATATTTTGCATAGAAATATTGATACATAATTTGAATTTTCTTGCATTCAAGTTAGCAAAAGTGTGCCGCGAAATTCTAAAATTGTGCCGCCAAATTTTCAAATCTTTAAAATAATGCCGCAACAAAAAAAAGGTTGAGAATCACTGCTCTAGAGATATGTTTCTTTAAAAAAAAAATATTTACAAATATCTCTCTAGCTTTTGGACTTGGAAGCCCTTATAAAGGGGGTGTAGTTGAATCGTGTTTTTCTCCTGTAGAAATGCTTCCATGCCCTGAAAGCTAGAGAGAGATTTGTGGATAAAAAATGTTAAAAAGAAACCTATGGAGGTTTGGTATATCCATCTTTATATTGATACACAAGGGATTGTTTTTATCAAATACTAGCCGAATGACTCGGGCAATGCCCGGGTTTTACCCGATTAAATGCTTTTATTCAAATACTATTCGTTACAATTATAAATTGGCGCCGTGGATGTCATTCTTGTATAAAATATAAAAGAGTTTTAAAAATTGTAAAAAAAAATGCATCGGCCGGGAATCGAACCCGGGCCGCCCGCGTGGAAGGCGAGCATTCTACCACTGAACCACCGATGGTTATGAGAAATGGCCATATTTGGGTATTTATTCCATTCACAAAAGCAAACGGTGACAGAATTGATTAAGAAAGAATTGATTATGACGCTGATAACTGTATATTTTAATATTATTTTGTTTCTAATCTATAATCCAAATTGTACCTTATCATTTTTTGTTTTGTCTTAACCTAGGTGTTCCTCAAGTATCACATTATTATTAATTTGGATAAACATTGTGAATAAGACCAAATAAAACAAGGCACAATTTGGATTATAGATTATAAACACAAGGTCATAAGACCAAATAAATAAATAGTGTGTGATGTTTCGGTAATAGCATTGTTACCATCATCAGACAAAAGTACTGAATGAATAGCCAAATTCAAATAAACAGTTTAATTATTTTTTCAAAACAAATAAATAGTGTGTGTTATTTTGGTAGTAGTAGTGTTATTGAAACTTCACACAACTATTTATTTGGTGTATTACCTTGTACAGTAGAACCTCCATGAGAGGAGGACACTCACACAAGAGGACACCTCTATATAAAGGACAGTTTTCATCGTCAAAAATACCATTTTTACTATTTAGAAACTCTATGATAAGAGGACACCTCTCCCTAAAGGACACTTTGGCTCTTCAACTAGGTGTTGTCCTTTACAGGGAGGTTGTTCTACTGTATTTTGATTTATATAAATCTCCTCCCTAAATATAGAGATTAAAATAATACAATAGATTTCTGGAGATAAGTTTTTTTAAATAACAACTTTAGGTTTCCAGGAAAAAGTTTCTTTTTTAAATATTTTTTTTTACAAGTATCTCAAGCTTTCGAGCAAGAAAGCCCTTCTTCGGGAGAAAATATTTTACAGATGATAATGCACAAATTGGATTATAAACACAAGGTAATAAGACCAAATCCAAATAAATAAATAAAGTTTGTGACATTTCAGTAACAGCGTTATTACCATCTTCAGACAAAAGTACTGAATGAGAAATTTTACCACAGCATGGTTTAAATAGTTTGATCTTCTTATTTGCTATCTTTGTTTACACACTTGATAACAGTAACTATTTAAAACATGCTGTGGTAAAATTTCTCATTCAGTATTTTTGTCTGAAGATGGTAACAACACTGTTACTGAAACGTCACACACTATTAATTTATTTGGATTTGGTCTTATTACCTTGTGTTTATAATCTACTAGCTGAATGACCCGGGCAACGCCTGGGTTTTACCCAATTGAATGTTTTTATTCAAATACTATTCGTTACAATTATAAATTGGAGCCGTGGATGTCACTCTTGTGAAACGTCCCGCTCCTAACTTTACATGTACATTAGGTCAGCTGGTATTACCCCCCCCCCCCCCCCCCCCCCCCCCCCCATTTTCACCGCCAGAGGCGCGAGCAAAAGAGCAAATTTGCAAATAACTCGACAGATATTCGGGATAGAGACCTGAAATTTTCACTAAGAGTTTTTCCAGATTCTACTTTATATACTGTTAAAATTTCAGTCAGATTAGTTACGTATTGTGGACGTGTATAGTTGACAAACATACATATATACATACACTGACTTTTATATATATAGGGATAATAATATGAGTTTTAAAAAATTGTAAAAAAAAAAAAAGCATCGGCCGGGAATCAAACCGGGGCCACCTGCATGGCAGGCGAGCATTCTACCACTGAACCACCGATGCTTATAAGAAATGGCCATGTTTGGGTATTTATTCCATTCACAAAAGCAAACGATGACAGAATTGATTGTTGATGACTCTGATGCTTGTATATTAGGATAATCCAAATTGTACTTTATCATTTTTATAGACTTCAATGGACCTAAAAAATATTTTACATTAAAACATCGATAAAATAAGATTTGAAATGAAATAAAATGCTTTAGGTGTTTACAGTGGTTTGAAATCAATGTGGGCCTCTAAATCTTATTACATTGTCTTTCTAAATAATTAGTACATCACTAGCTAACGATGTGAACAATCAGTGGCCAGGAATTTTTCAATATTAGAGTTCTAGGAAATGGTCTGGTTGATTAAATTGACGAAACCGCTGGGAGGGTTCACCACTGATGAGCCAAGCCCTCTCAATAATTTTTTCATTATAAAAAGAGAGTAGAAGTTTATTTTATTTGTGTAAAAGAAACATTCGTGCTTTAATATTCTGTCTCTCTGTCATACATATAAGAATTTTTTTTACTTATCCCTAGTACACGTGGTACAAGCCATGATAATCATGGTGGGTAGTTAGCGACTGCTTTTACTGTAAGTGCACCACATGTCTACACATGTGAAAAGCAGTTCGGCTTTGCACTTACAAATGTACCAGAGCCCCGTTTGGTTACTTGCACTCGCTGGTGGGGTTGGACTTTTGCAAGAATCGGGGGCCATTGGAGCATTTTAAAAATTTTTTATTATTCAAATCAGAAAAAAGTGTCCAATGTGGGAATCGAACCAGGGTCGTAGTGGTCGAAAAACCAAACGGTTTAACCAGCCTTCCACCTACCCCCCCACATATAAGAATAAATATCAATAGTTGATCATTTGTTTTTAGCTCTCATTTATTACTGCTCACAGAACATGGTGGGTTGGACTCCAAAGGCAGGTTTTATTGAATCAGAAAAACTTTTTTCCTTATCAGTTATTGTTTTTAATGTATAGAGTTATCAAAAGTTTCTTATTAAAGTTGGCCTTTTTAAATAAATATTTGATAATATTTTATTGAAAATTATACAATATGGGTTAGAAATCGCACAAACTATTTTAATTTTTATAATATTTTATTTAAAGAGTGTGTTGTGTGTTGAAATTGATCTTTTAATATGTTCAATTGAGTGTATTTAAAAATATCTGTCGATTTGACATTGTATTAACGTGTATATTTTAAAATATTTCAAATTTAAATCTAGGGTAGCATTATAGAAAACTTTAAAACAATACACAATATTATTAAAAATTATAGATATTCCAATATCATTGTGATGGTGAGCTTTCAAGTTTGAAAAAGAAAAGAAAGAAAATGTACACTACCTATATGTTATTAATACGAGAAAGGGAAACTACAAAAAAAAAAAAAAGTATTTTCAACTTATAATTTTGATAAAGTAACGTTAAAGAATCATCTAAAAATCATGGATTTATTGATTTTCAAAAAATATAAACATAAAACATCCAATACAAACAAAGTGACCAAACAAAATAATATATATCCACTAAAATTAAAAAAATATATAAGAATTAAAAGAATTATAAATTCAGGGAGAGATTATTATATGTTTGTTTTAATTTAAAAAATACTATTATTCAAAAAACTATTCTAAACATACTTACAAAAATATCTTAGAACTCTTTCTCTATTTTAATAATTTATTCGTCTCAAAATATTTATTCTCATATTTTGATTGATTTAGGTACAATTAATTTAGTTTTTATATTTATATCTCTTCAACAAATTTTAAAAGTAAAATATAGATATTCTATAATATCAAATTTTTTTATTAAAATATATATATATTTGATCACCAGCTGTCGCTGCGTTAGTTTCAGCTTTAGAGTGTCGGGCGCAAAATAGTGCTGTGTGCAAAATTAATAGATGCACATTTTCTTTTTTTCTTTTTCTTTTCATCAATTCTTTTGATTTTTGTGAACGGATTTTCTTTGTTTAATCGAAAGACAACGCTTATATTTAATATAATCTATGCGTAATGAGTCTAATCTAAGTGCCTACTAATAAATTTAAGCAAAGTATATAAACAAATCGGTAAGTAGCACTCAACTACCTTGGGGAAAAGTCTCGCCCATTTCCTTTCTTCTTTTGATTTTTCTTAACCAATTAATAAGAAATCATATGAAAATTTTGTATATTTTTCCATTTTGTTTTAGTTAATACCTAATGATTTTTCTTTGTTAAAACGAGAGTTATACCGAGTTTTACTCAAAATGAATATTAGTAAAATTTATAGTTTTTTAAAATAATTTGACCACAAATATATTCTCTCACACATAAATAATTTTAAAAAATAATATATTATAATAATTTTTAAAAATATTTTTGTTACAAATCACAGATAACACAATTATTTTACTCCGTTAACTCCGCGTATATGCACATTCTTAAACGCGTGCCGTTTATAAGAAAGTTTTAAAGCAATTTTTTTTACGGAAATATAATTTTAATTATATATAAATTCATTGTTGTTATATCTAATTGAAGGTTAGTATTTCCCTACATTGACACATATCCACTATAGAATCAGATATCCATTTTGAAAGATAGGGTCTCATGGTCTTTTACTGATACCACATGTAATGGTCTCTCCACATGTTTTTGATGAAAGATATCTTTATTGATAAAAAATATTAAATTCTCAAATCCTATTTAATATTAATATTTACCTTTTATATTTTTATAGATAATAATGTTTATCTAGGGGGTCTGTAGAGAGGACTGGCATAAACTATGGATTTCTTTAACTCCCATGTCCAGGAATTGTATTCAGCATTGGTCACTTTTTTTTTTCTTAAGAAAAACTTCTTCAAAAGCCCTGATTGATACAGAATTCTACCAGTGAATGTGCAAGGAGCCAAAATGAAGCTCTGAACACTTATAAATGCAAAAGTCTTAACTGCTTTCAACATGTGTAAACATGTGCAGTTAAAGTATTTGCTAACTACCCACCATGATTATCATTGGACAGTACCACATATACTTGGAATGTGTCCTACCACCATAAAGTGTATTCATAAGGCTGGTTGTTGAAATCTTTGAGAATGTAAGAATGTATTTAGTATATAGATCTATCTTCAAACCCTAGGGTTGTCCAGCTTGAGATATCTCTTAAGAAGATGTAACGTATATGTTAGGTCTCTGGATTAAGGTTTTAGATTTGATGACTAAACTGAACCTAACCTAACCTA